TTAATTTTAAAAGAGCTTCATATTCCGAAAGTATTTTTAGAAAAAATCATATGGAACAAAAAGACACTTTCATAAAATTAGTTAAACATGTTCAAAAATAGATTTTGGATCTCAAAAACTCCTTTTAAGAGCATTTTCAAGAGATTTTTTAAACATGAGATGCTCTTTATTTTAAATAATCAACCCTTAAAATTATGCTTAAATGGACTCTTTAAATTAACATTTTAAAATAAAAAGTGAGAGAGCCAGACCCAATCTCTATAATTAAATTCATTCAAAGTACCTCAATTTTCAAGGAAAAAAGATAATAATTTGGAAGGAATCTATTGAAAATAAAGAATATGAAAAAATAATTATTATTTTTGGAAGTAATAAAATTAAGCATTAACCATAAAGAGCGTGTTAGAGTATTTAAACACTTTTACTCTCTAAACTTATATATACTCTCTAAATTGTAAAATATGTTTTTTTAAAAATAGAAAGTCTCTTGAAATCCTACATTAATTGCACAAACAAATATTGAGCCTAATACAGGGGGCGGACCCAACCCATGCCCAGTGCAAGCATCTGCCTGCACTAGACTTTGGGCCAGCCCCATTCAATATATATTTTGGAGCACTAGAAATGTCTATGACCTCTAATTCATTTGCTCAAGGTGAAGCACATCAAAAATATCAGATGGAGAAGATGGGCCAAATTATAAGTTATTTCATTTTTAGTATAATGTTTGTATTATAATGTTGTTATTTTTTCACTTTTATTAATATAGTCCGTACTTAAAAAATTCTAAGTTCACCCCTGGTCAGTACTGTAGAATCCCCCTGGTCAGTACTATGGAGATTCTACATTATTACATAATTAATTATTAAGAAAATAATATCTTAGAGTCAGGAGAAAAATTACAAAGACCAATAAGATAATAATTGAATGTCTTCAATATTAAAAACTAAAAACTTGGAATTTTTTTAATAAAAAAAAAGGAGTCTATTTTCACATTTTCTAGACGTGTCAAAAGTCAGCCTATCCCCTTCTAGGGATCGAGCCATGAGCCGTCATTGAGATACTGTGGAAAAGCTAGAATACGAATCGAAATTTTTGGAGAACATTGATCCGGATATTTCTATATAGGGTATTTTGAATTGCTATTAAATCCATATATAGGCAAGAGATATCTCGACAAATTGAGAAATAGTAGGGCCAAACCCTATGTTGGGGTGCACTGAACTACGTAAAGTCTTTTTATCCAAGTACAAGCAGTTCATGTCTTTGAATCGTGTTTTTCAATTTTTACCCTTATTTATATATCTACCTCGCGACATTAGCATTTACTTTCTCATAAAAAAATAAAATAAAAGAACATGTTAGATAAATTTAGTGAATTGCGAGTACTTACCGTAACAAGAAAACCTTTGTCAAATATTATGTGTGACTTAATTTACTGATAAGTTGATTTTAATTTTTGAAACAACTGCGAAGTTTATTCATTCCATTATTTCCACAACATAAGTTGTTTAGTAGACCAAATTTACTAATAAATTGCTACTATATATTGTCCATTAAAGATCAATATTAAATATCAAGGGAAGTTATTAAGAAAAATTATTCATTATCTAAAGTTAACAAGGATAAATATTATTGTCTTCATTATCTAACTGGAATAAAATAGATGCCCTCAAATTAATGCTGTGTTTGATTGGAGGTGGAATTCCATGGAAAATGAAATTGGAATTCCACCTTTCAATTTAACCTTGTTTGATAGCATTTTTTTAGCCTATAATTGAATTTCCAACTTGAGTGCCACATAAGTCAAATTCCACCAATTCAAGGAATTGGAATTCTCACCAAAATGGTGAGAATTGGAATTCCCGTTGACTGTAGCATTTTTTTTTATATATATATATTTCCATTTGATTGACAATTTTCATATAAAACAAAGTCAAACAAACACAAAAAATAGATGATTTTCTTGATTTTTTGTTTTGTTTTGGCAATGAAAACAAATTTTATCCCCAATACCAGTAAATTACATCCCTTTAATTGACAATTTTTATGTAGAACGAAGTCAAACAAACACCAAAAAATACTTTCATTTCAACATTTTTCACATGAAACATTATACCAATCAAATACAATAATTTACAATTCTCAAGAAAATAATTTGTAAGAAATTCAATTCCCTGAAATTTATTTTTTAGGCAATTCAATTCCATCTTTACAATCAAACAGACCCTAAAGTTATTAAGAATAATATATATATTTATATATATATATAATGTCCATCAAATTTCTTAACCCCGCTCTTGTATTTATGGAAACGCCTCTAAAATTATTAGAATAAAAATTAGGAATAGTTGCAGTAAAAGTTCCAAATCTTTAAAATATTAGCAGACTTCCTCTAAACCTTTTATTTGTTGCACCCATCACCTCTAATCTTTCCAAACATTGCATGTGAAACCTTTTTTATATGATTCCATCTGAAATGTCGTCAGTTGACCATCAAAATAAACTATGACCATCTTTTAATCAATTTTAAAAGGGCAAAATGGTATTAAACAATTTAAAAAATTAAATCAAAAGCAAAAAAAAAAAAAAAGGATCTTCTTCTTCTTCTTCCCCTCCCCCCACCTCCACAATCTAAAATAAATAATAATAAATCCGCCCTTTGCCACCGCCATTGCCATCTCGACTGTGAATATTTGATTAACATCAAATCCTTTGTCCATTGCCTGACTCAACTCTACAATATCACCTTTCTAGAGGCCATAAAGGATCCTGTAGACCCCATGATGGATTTCATGAGGAACTTGAAAATCCTCTTCAACTCGGCCGTAGAAGGTGGGACGCGATTGCAAGGAATGAGGGTTTTGTATTGGGGTCCTGGAGGTGGAGCTGGTGGTATTAGCGAGCCTTGGTGTAGGAAGAAGCAAGGTTTGGGGGCGTCAGAGATGTCAATGGTGATTTGGAAAAGCGACTCGACTGCTTGGAAGACTTCTAACAGCGGGGCAGAGGTCCAGAGAATGTTGTCTTAGCGTACGACAACAACGGATACAATGAGGCTACGACAACAGAGGTGGTGAAGAAGTGACAAATTTATTATTACTAGTTTTAGATTGAGGGGGGTGGGTGGGGGAAGAAGAAGATCAATTTTTCTTTTTTGGTTTTTTATTTAAGTTTTTTAATTGTTTAATAAGGTAAATAAAAAGTTATAATTTTGCCCCTTTAAAATTGGTTAAATGGAGGTCAAAATTTATTTTGATGGTCAACTGATAGCATTTTAGACGGAAACCACCCAAAATGACCTCACATGCATCGTTTGTAAAGTTAAGGGGTGACGGCTGCAACAAATGAAATGTTTATGAAATGTTTGCTAATATTTCAAAAGTATGGAGCTTTTGTTGCAATTATCCCAAAAATTATTATCCTTTTATACATTTTATTCCACTTTTATCCTTACTCATGGAATCATTCAAAAGCTACTGATTGCTACTTCAATATTTAAAGAATAAAACAGCTGTTGAATTTATTCTCTCCGTCAATTATTGGGCAAATTATTAATTGCTAATTAATAATCTACTATTAATATGCTTTCTTGGATTCTTAAAATAATTGATTATAGACTTTTCTTATTAAGTTAAGTAATTATAAGATTTAAAGATTTTCGTTAACCTTAAATTATGCTATCGAGTTTATTTGGACAGCTAATTACTAGTTTTAACCAAGTAATTATGCCAAAATAATCTAATTTGTAACATTAACATAATAAGGTCAAAACCATTATTAAAAATGCCAATAGATGAACGAAAAATTATTAAAAATGGTAATATATGTACGAAAAATTTAAACTCCATGTGATACATTCAGCCCTTGTTTGAGCCCCATTTTTTTTTTTAATCAAAATTCATTCTTCAACAGTGATTTAACCTCATTTCAACCACATATTTTTAAAAAAAAATGATATTATGTACAAATTTAAAATTTTTCTTTATTTTTTAACCACACACTTCTCATCAACATATTATTCAAAAAATGCATTTTTTGGACAAGAATGGGGCTCAAACAAGGGCTCAATACGTTTTCTCGGACATAACGGAATATTATAAAAATTAGAGAGGTAAATGAGATATTTGTGTAGTCATTCTTTTCAATTAAAAGAATGTTGAACATGATCAAGGAAAAGAAACACGTGTGGCACTTGTCCATCTACCATTTATATATAAATAGAGCGGATTTGATTATGAGAATGAGGCACGAGCCCTCAACCATATGCTAATATTGAAATTAATGTGTGAAAACAAATAGACGTATCGCGACAAAATTAAGAAAATATAGACAAGTGAGATGTTTGATCAATTACTGTCCAGTCCAATATAACATAAAAGCAAAGCAAGCCGACAAAATTCAACAATATTAATTAAAAAAAAGTTACATGACATGTTTGTTGATGCACGGTTGATCCGACCTTACATGTAGAAATTTTCATGCACCCTTGACGTGTTTGTCAAGGTAGGTTAAATAATATCGAACAATATAAAATTAAACAAGGTATCACAATTCACAAAATAAGCTTCACATCCAAAATCCCGCAGATAAAAGTAATTCCCCACTACAATCTCACGCATGGCTCTATTCGCCTCTTTGCTGACTCTTCCAGCTCTAATGTAATTTTGGACAAAATTAATGCAAAACAATTATAATTCTCAAAAATTTCATTCATCATCAATACATTACAATCATATATGGGGATTTGATTGCCCCTAACGGTGCCTTTCCTAAAAACTTGAATCACTTGTACCGCTTCGAAAACACTAGAATATTTTTTATTACTAGAACACAAATTTCTCCTACATGAAGCCTAATTCGAAACTTCAACAATATCTCAGGACAAATTCCGATTATACAATCCAATACTGCATGCTAAATGTGCTCCAATCTCAAGTCGAAAAGCAAGTACAAGAGCCTATAAGATTCAAATTATATGTATTTTTTTAAAGAGAAGCTAGCAAAATTGGAGGGAAATTTTAACAAACTCTTTCCATGTTAAAATTACAATTCCATCCCATTACCTTCTGTACTCTACCTTTAGAGCCCTTATCAAATTATATGCCAAGAGTAAAGCTTTCTCCGCTTAATTCCCAATTCACTTCCGAAATTACAGAATCTCACCGCATTCGCTCAAAACCCACTTGCAGAATCTATAGATACAACTAGTGTGTTCGTGTTATTTAAGGTACATTATTAATTTAAGAGACTTATGTTGCATAAATTGGTATGATTTTTCTTCATTGATGTTCTCTGATTATTTTCTGTTCATGTTTATTTGGTGTGATTTGTTGTGCGTTTTATGTTTTGAAGGGATTTTGTTTATGTTTTACGGATTTTTTGGTGTGTATTTCTTTTTGGCAGGATTTATCATAAATTTGATGAGATGGATGGAAAAACAGCAGGAGAAGATGAGATACTTGATTTGAGTAAAAAATCAATTGAGAGAAAAAGGAAGAGAGAAATCGATATTTTAAGTGCCAATGTAAAGCAGGATACTTCGAATGGCTTTGTGGGGAGGGTTTTGAGGTCAAGGACATTGGCTATGACTGATGGTGAAAAACAAGTCATTGAGATGGAAATAGATAATGTGGAAGAAAAGGATGAAGGAGAGATGCAGGTTTCGCGGAAAAGGAAAACAATGAAGGGACGGCGAGGTAGGCCCCCCAAAAATAAATATGGTGATTGTGAGTTGAGTTTTGGGGAGAATGATGATAAGGTAACAGGGCACAAAACAGTGGATGAGGGTATTAAAGGGACTGGCCGAGGAAGGAAAAAGGTTAATGGTCGGGTTGGAAGGCCACCCAAGGTGAAGGACAGGATTCCTGGAATAGTTTTAAAGAAAGATGATAAGGTGGATGAGACTTATAATGGGAGGACTGGACGTGGAAGGAAAAAAGTTAAGGGTCAGGTTGGAAGGCCGCCCAAGGTGAAGGACGGCATTTCAGGAATAGTTTTAAAGAAAGATGATAAGATAACTGGGCAGAAGACAGCGGATGAGAGTAATAAAGGGACTGGCCGAGGAAGGAAAAAAGTTAAGGGTCGGGTTGGAAGGCCTCCCAAGATGAACGATGGGGCTTCTGAAATTGTTTTAAAGAAGAAAAAAGGCATGCGAGTGAAGGATAAAGGCATTGGTACTAATGGCTTTAAGAAAGATGGTGATCATGCGAAGACTGGTGTTTGTGGCAGGGGAAAGAGGATAAAGGTTGATCCTGATGATTTGGGAAAGAGGATGAAGGAAGATTCGGGGAAAGAGGTGTTCACCGAAGGAAAGGAAAATGGGCGTAGGGAAGAGAAGCAGATAGTGAGGGATCAGATAGATTCTATGCTTAAGAAGGCAGGGTGGACTATTCAGTCCAGGCAGAGGCAATCCAAAGATTACCAGGATGCTGTTTACGTTGACCGAGAGGGAAGAACTTACTGGTCTGTGACCTTGGCCTATAGAAAGCTGAAGGAGAGGATTGATGGTGGTAATGCAGATGATAAAGATGTTTCTGCATTCAGCCTGATACCGGAGGAGGTGTTCAGCATGCTATTCAGAATCACTGAGAAGGGAAAGAAAGGAAAGAAAGCTAAGGTAATAAAAGAAGGTGCTGGAAAGACTAATAAAGGTATTACTACAAAGGAGTCATCTAAGAGTAAATCATTAGGCAGGGTAAATAAATCAAGATTAAATAGGGGCAAAAGACGAACACTATGGGCTCGTAGACCGGGGGAAGGATCTGACAGCGATAATGATGAACTATACAAGGGGAAGCGCTCGCTACTATCATGGATGATTGATTTGGGAGCAGTTCCCCCCAGTGGGAAGGTGAGTTACAAGGGAGGAAAGTGTACAGAATTGATGCTCGAAGGGAAGATTACAAGAGATGGAATCTGTTGCAACTGTTGCAATAAAATGCACACCATTTGGGACTTTGAATCTCATGCAGGAAGCGGGCTTCATAAACCATTTAAAAATATCTATTTGGAATCCGGGGTTTCTCTTCAACAATGCCTCATGGACTCCTGGACTAAGCATTCAGCAACTGATCAAACTGAATTTGTTTCAGTGCATATGAACGGTGATGATCCCAATGATGATATATGCAACATTTGTGCAGATGGCGGTGATTTGATGTGTTGCGATGCTTGCCCATCGGCATTCCATAATGTCTGTTTGGGAATTGAAGTACGAATATGGAACATGCTTCTCTTACTTTTTTTGTATGAACCTGTCTGTCTTTTGTCATTTATTGTTTGATTGTACTTTAATTCAAGCTGATGCAGCTTTTAATTGCATGGATGCTTTTAGAATTTGCTGTCATCTGCATTCCTAAGTTCTATTTATTTTTGGTGGTTCCCTCAAATAGCCATGTGGTAGGCTATTAAGAGTGTATCTCTTTGTAGCATTTTGCTAGCTTTTACTTGACATCTGTCTCCTCTGAAAAAATAAAGACATAGTTTATGGCCATTCATAAGCTACAGCATGATCAATCATTATGCGCTGTTTTATAGCCAGGATTGAAACAAAATTTCATTTTGCTTGGTTGAAATATGGCATACTGCACCATGGAAAGCTGGCAATCTTATGTTTCAGGACTTTGGTTGTTGAAAATAAGTTTTGACTTAAGTTAATTTTCTACAACATTTGATCGAGTAACTGAAACTCAAATGTTTTCATATGGTAATTCAAAAAGGGAAACTAGATTGTTGTTAAAAGACTAATTACTCCCAAAAAAAAATATTAATATATTGCAATCCTCTCTCTTTTTGGTAAATTTAGGCCATGTTTGAGTCACATTCTTTCAAAAAAATATATTCTTAAATAGTAATTTGACATTATTTCAACCATATTTTTCAATAAAATAATATTACACGCAAATTCAAAACTTGTCATTATTTTTTAACCACATTCTCCATCAATCTACTATTTTAAAATACATTTTTTAAAAATAATGTGGCTCAAACACACACTTGAGAGAAAATAAATACTCACATTTCTTGTTTTTCAGAAGGTTCCCTCTGGAGATTGGATCTGTGTATGCTGCTCATGCAAATTCTGTGGAGTGGCTGGTAAAATTACCTCAAAGATCGACGAAGATCACAATTCAGTTGTGTCCGAATTATTTATGTGTCATTTGTGTGAGCAAAAATGTATGGTTCAGTCTTCATCCCTTCCCAATTACCCAGAGATCTCGTTTTCTATTTAATCATGTATAACTGGTAGTATTGCAATGTTGTTCACAGTTATTGTCTTTTGCAGTCCACCTGCCTTGCATTGGTGGGAAGGATGCTAGTCATATTGATTACCATAATCCATCCTTTTGTGGGCCAGAATGCCAGAAGGTAGTTTTCTATCTTTATAATGCTACTCTTTGTTCTGCAGAATCTTGATAGTATTAGGCATTTTGTAGTTCAATACCATTTTGATAGACTTTCTTGAAGATGTCACATCCGCTTCAATTAACGTTGTAGCGAAGGTGTTTCTATAAAGCAATATATGCAGGACTTTTGATGTTTGATAATATTTTGCAACACAAGATCATATAGTGACTTCGTAGTGATGAAACTTTCCTCGTACAAGGTAGTTGGTAAATATGAAGCTTAGCTTCTTTTTTAACCGTGCCATAGAATGTAAGTAAACAAAATTGTAATATAAAAAGCCTCGTGGTTCAGTCTCATATAGCTGAGACTTGACAAAATTTGCTCAATCATTGAGCTAAAAAATAACATTTGGAAGGGAAGATTTGACACATCCTTTGCCCTTCTCCCTAAAATAATAGTTTAATATGCTGAAATTTCTTTCAGTTAAAAGTGGTTGAAGGCAAATTGTTACAGGTCTTAAGTTATAAGTTAACATCAGGATGTGGGTATAGGCTTCATTTCCTTCAGTTGGATTATCTGCTATGCATTTCTCATCTTTCTTGATGCACTCTGCAAAGTTGGTTTTTTTATCAAATTATGTTTTACCTACATTTATCGAGGAATGCACGCAAAATGTTGGGCTATTTATAGCTTTCTTCTCCCTTCAACTATACCATTTCCTTTCATATACTTTTTTCCTTGGCTCACTGCTTGGTATATGTTTATTTTGTACATATTGAAAGTGATTTGTTATCAGCTAGAGATTGCAGTGAATGATAATGCATACTATCTCTGATTTGAGGAAATTATTGCGGCAGTTTGAAATCAATACGTTTAGTTCCAGTGCATGTGGGATATTTTTAATCATTCTTCTAATACACGTGTATCTTGCTATTTTCGTGTTTTTAGAGTCAAACACTCCCAACATCTTTTTCTATTGCGATTAATTAAATTAGACTCCAAGAACCCAAGTCGTGATCATTTTGTAACTCAAAATTTATTTTAATAGTATTAAGGCTCTAACATCTTCGTTCTGTAGATTTTTGATAGCCTACAGGTACTGCTCGGGGTGATACATGAACTAGAAGGAGGATATTCCTACACCATTCTTCAGCATCGTGATGCATCTTCCAATGATGACTCATCGGTGGTTGAAAGCAATTCCAAATTAGCTCTGGCTTTTTCTGTCATGGATGAATGTTTTCTACCTATCATTGACCACCAATGTGGAAAGAATATTATTCACAACATTGTCTACAGCAGTGGGTAAGCATTAAGAATTTATATGAAATAAAAGTGTTTCATAAACTTAAGTCGTCATTTATATTCAGTTTTTGAGGTTGATAGCATATGCACAGGTGATGATAACCGATATTCTCATTAAGAAATTTCCTGCTTTCTTCAGTCTGATTTATGTTGTTTCAAAAATCCTGAATCATGATTTATCAAACAAAATAGAACTAAAAGCAACTCATTGTGCTGTATGTTATAGTTGAAATTGTGCCTGTGGTACTGAGGAACATGCTTCCTAAAGAGGCTTCTTTTGTTTGAAGACTTTCTATTCATGTTAAATGATGTTCAGACGTTTTCTATTTCAGTCCACTTGCCATTTTGAGAATTTATGAATTAAAAAATTATACAGCACGTGCCAAATTTCTGGAATATTAGACGCTTGACCTTTGATGCTTGTTAAATTAAACTCTGCTAGTAAGTTTCCCATGGTTTCTATGCTATAAATGTTGTATATTAGCTTCGCTTGGAAAAGATCTCTTATAAAATCTGTTAAATCTTTTCTCTGAGTAACAATTTCGTCAAAGGCAGAGTAATCTACTGTATGCAACATTTTGCTGGCCAAAAAAAATGGATCTTTTATTATTTATTTCTTATTGCAATTTTCAGGTCAAACCTTAGACGGCTGAACTACAGTGGGTTCTGTACCGTTATTCTAGAGAAGGGTGATGAAATTGTTGCAGCTGCATCTATAAGGTTGTCTGCACTTGATTTTTGTACCCGACATTACATAAGAGTTTTGATTAGTACTTTATTTACCAGTCCCAGATGAGATTCTCTAAGATCGTTCATCTTTGATTTTTTACTTTTTGGCAAATATAACTCATTTGATTGATTTTTAATGCCTTGATTTTTTCTTGTTTCCCAAAGTGAAAAGGTTACTTGTTTTTGCATTATACAAGATCCTCCTCCACTGAGTTCTCAAATGGTTATATCTGATATCATCAGACATCAATCCAAGTATTTCTATAATTTCTTACCATTGATTTTTCAATGTTGTGAATATTTTATCCAATAATGTAAAATGAGAAGTGACACAATGAAAACTAAAATTTACATGTTTATGATCTCTGAAAACAGGATCCATGGGAGTCAGCTAGCCGAGATGCGAAAACTAACATTTACATGTTTATGATCTCTGAAAACAGGATCCATGGGAGTCAGCTAGCCGAGATGCGAAAACTAACATTTACATGTTTATGATCTCTGAAAACAGGATCCATGGGAGTCAGCTAGCCGAGATGCGAAAACTAACATTTACATGTTTATGATCTCTGAAAACAGGATCCATGGGAGTCAGCTAGCCGAGATGCCTTTCATTGGAACTCGTTTGAGGTATCGACGTCAAGGGATGTGCAGCAGGCTTCTAAAGGCAATTGAAACGGTATGCTTTTGTGTCTTTGTGAAATTGTCTGAAGAACAAGTTACTATTTTAGCTCCCTCGGGGTTTCATGTTACCCCTCGTATTTTATTTAGTTGCTATGTTTTATCTTAACTGATTGCCATGGGAAAAATGCCAGAAGACCTCCCAAGTTCTTCCATTGTTACATCCCTGAACTCTTTTTCAGATTTCTCTGTCACTCTCAAGGGTCGCCGTTCAAGGCCTGCATAAATTTTTTATGGACCAAAACCGGAAGACTCTGAGAACTTTCGGATAAGCTTAAAAAGTTAGCTTATAAGTAAATAAGTTTGTTTTATAAGCTTTAGCTGATAATGCTCTTAGTTGGTAAGCTGTCTCCTGGTTTTATGCTTTCTTATGCTGCAAATTGTTTCTCAGGTTCTTGGCTCTCTTGGTGTTGAGAAACTGGTCATACCTGCAATATCTGAACTTAATGAAACATGGAAAAAGGTTTTTCATTTCGTGACTCTTGAAGAGTCAAAGAGACGAGAAATGACGTTAATGAATATAGTAGCATTCCCAGGAATTGATATGTTACAGAAACCTTTACAAAAGCGAGCTATACAAGACGAGCCTACTGAGGACATCAAGGGTCAAGTCGAAAATTAGATGAAGTTACCGCTACAGTTGATTCAGATTCCGACTTGACTAATGGCTTCTTAGCTATGGAGTCGACTGAAATTGGAACATAGCTATGGAGTCGAAGAAGAGGAACAAGGACGGACACAAAGACGCAGATAACCCATGAAGGGGCTGACTGGCTGAAGTTTTCGTCCTTGTATAAACTCGATGTTGTATAGGGGAATCGTACCCATGTCTACGTAACTAAACTTTATAGGGACTTTCAATTTTTTTATAAGGAAAAAAAAAATAAGAAATTCTCTCTTTTTAAGAGATTGAATTTGATAGAAAAATATTCGAAATATTTTTTTTTTGCTTTGACACGTGAGAAGATAGAAAATAAATCCTTAATTTGAATGTTCATTTTTGGTTAGGTGAGACTTACTGACCTCATATCCAGTGCTTAGACATAATGTCTTTGAATAGAAATGTTTTTATTTTATAGTATCATTTAGCAAATGATAAAATTTTAATTTTTAATTATTGTTAAAATATTTGTTTAACCTCTTATTTAATTGCAGCATTATCACTCTTGATACTTTCTAATTAAAAAGAAAAAAAGAAAAAAAAAAAAAGAAGCAATTTTTTGACCTTTTTTTGTCTTTTATTTTTTATTATTGAGGACCTTGTTCTCACTCGAAAACTCTAAAAGCCTAATTTAGAAGTTAGGGTTCATTTGATTGTAAGAATGGAATTTGAGTAGAAAGAAAACGAATTTTAGATAATTGAATTGTCTAAACTTGTTTTACTGAGAATTGTCAATTAAATGTGTTTGATTGATATAATTTTTCACTAAAAAAATATTGAAATTTAAGAACTTTTGGTCATTTAGTTTTGTTTTTCATAAAAATTGTTAATAAAATGGATAAAATGTCACATTGGAGATAAAATTTGTTTCAATTGCCAAATATATATATATATATATTGGAAAACCAAAAACCATCAAATTCATGGGAAAATCAATTCCTCAAAAAGGTGGAAAAAGGGGTCGCTTGGGGTGTTGCCGAGAAAACCAATTGCCAAGAAAATTTGGACAATCGAACATGTAAAAAGGTAGAAAATAGATTTTAATTTCCTACTTCCATAAAAAATTGTGCAATGAAAAAGAGCTTTAGTGTTTTAACTTTCATTAACAAGCTCGATTCTTGTGTATGATGTTCTGACTATATCGAAACAGAGAGCTTCTCAATATTTAGAGATCACCTGAAATATTTCTCAAGCATTGGACTGGGGAGAAAATTTTTGTTATTTTTGAAGTATGTGACATTTATATTATAATAAATTCATGTTTAATCCCAATTAAATAATTAGTCCAAACATCATATTTCAAAAATACTGAAAATAATTTAGGACTTCGGAGAAATGAAAAAAAAAAATTGTTTATTTAGTTTTTAATAATTAAAAATCATTTGAAATTGAATTAAGCCGTTTACATAGTTTTTTTTTTTCCAAATAAAATAAATGGGATAATGTAGAAAATTTCTTTGTTATAAGTTTCATATAAAAATCATTAAGCGAACAGGATACACATATATAAGTTTATACATGCCTTCACTGTTCTACCTCGTATCTTTATTGTATTTGATACTTGAATAATGGTAAAGTATGCCAAAGTTTGGAAATGATTAAAATTTTCTAAATTATAGTCAATAATTAATTTTAATCACATATTTTATAATACCTACAATTTTTTAACTACACATTTCATCAATTTTTATCAAAATCTACTAAAAACTAATTTTAGTTCCCACAAAACAGGGGCTATGTATGTTTCGTAATATTTCATTTCTCCTAGTTTTGGAAGAAACATTGTATCGTGAGAGGTAGACCGTAGACGTTCAATTATTCTATTAACAACGATGCTAAGACAAAATGTGTTTTAAAAAGATTTTCAATGACATATTATCTTTCTTCTTTTGTTTATTCTAATCGATTTTCTAACAACATACTTAGTCTCACCTCTCTAAATTAATATGATAAATTGTACACTAATTTATTTAATTTATGAAAGTTATTAATTTGTAGAACATCTAGAGTAGTTTACATAGTCCACCGTCAATAATAGAGCATATATGTGTATACCATAGTGAAAGAATGGGAAAAAAATTTCTCGAGGCAGATGAGTGGAAGTGAAGGCTGGAAATTTGCATCAAAGAAGAGGGGTGGCGACGCTGGTGACACCGCTTCCAAAGCTGGTAGTAGAAATGAGTGGTTGATAATCAATGATTCCTCTTCTTCTCTTGCTAGCACACGTGTCACTATGTAAGCGTGAGGTGAGGTTTGCATGGCATGCTAAGACTATGGTATTAGAAGTATCTATTGTTAGTCAAAGATAAGAATGTGTACTGAGCATACATAAATTCGTTATTGTGTATAAAATCTATAGGATTCCCTTTGTATTTTTGATTGGTGTGCTATAATACTAGAGTTGAAGTAGAAGCACTAGTTATCCAAGCATTTGTATGAATCCTCAAGAATATACCTTTGTAACTTCTAGTGATTGGGTCTATAATACTTCCATTTTAACTACTCATTCTATAAGGGTAACATGTCATGCTTGACACGACCCACTTTTAGACGACATAAGCCATAGCACGAGCCATGATTTCGGCTCTCAAGGATTTTCAAAATTATTTTAGTTAGATGTTGCTTCATTTCAAAAAAAATTAGACGGCCAACATGGGCGTGAGCTGATGAAGCCAAACCGGACTTGGGTCAGCCCGCGTTGCATGTTACACGAAGCATGTCTATTTGTCTACCAACGTGAAAAAATACTTATTCAACAATATAATAAACAAAATTTTAACTTATTTTTCGTATGTAATAATGTCCGTAATTATTCGACTTTTCTTCCCAAACATGCCACAAGGCTAAAGGAGATTGGGGTGGGAAAGAAAAATGGGTAGAGTTTTCAATTGAACCTTACAGGTGATTGTAAATCAGAGAACAGAACTTATCTTTTTTCTATATGAATAGGCTATTGTCATTCTCTACTAGGCCAAGACTGTTAAACTTTATCGTCTAATTTTCCGTTTACCAAAGGAATCAACTCCATCTTACCCTTAGGAGTTCGAGGAGTTAAAGGAGTTCCAGGTGATTGTTGCGAGAGCTTGTGCCTCACGTACCCGTAGAATGTACAGCCAATGAGTGTTATAGCACATCCCATAGCATTAAAAGATGATATTGGGTTTCGAAAGATCAGCCATGAACATGTAACAGCAACAGCAACCTGAAATGAGATAATTCAAGAAGGATATAAATGACTGGAGCATATCAAAGGCATTTCTTGAATATGTGAGACTGATAGAGGATATTGACATTTTCATCCTACACGAGCTGCAGAATTGTGCAAACTATATAAAGACATCTTGTCCATGAAGTACTGACACAGACACGTGCATAACGTACATATCGACACGTGATTTTTCGAAAAAATACTCTGTTTAACAAAGACACGCGATTTTTCAAAAAAGTACTAACACAACATGTCGTCAACACGTGTCAGATACGGACACGTTACCCTAGTTGAAGCGTGAAGTGTCCATGCTATGGAGTATCCTGCCGTGCAAGTTTTTTACTTCCCTCAAATAGTTTCTTATTTCCCATTTATAAGTTGATGATTATGCTATCAAAAACTAAACAGAGTTCAAATTTAGAAGTGACGATTCACGAAAATCAGTTCACTTTTGCCAGATTAGTCAATAATAATCTGCTCCATTAGTTATCCAGTCTTGCTTTCTTTGTTGTCCATAACCTTCTCTCAAACTTAATTCACCTACACTTCCTCCATTTCCAATCTAAATAATATATTGGCGTAAATGAAAGGAATTAGGTACCAAATAGATGCTCACCTTAAGGTTCCCTGAAACGTTAAAGGTGACAGCAGTTGTAGAGTGAATAACGTAAAAGATGGAGAAGTTCAGGCAAAATGCAAATACTCCAGACCCGAAAATAATAATAAGGGATGAGAACAGGGAGGGACACGTGCGAAACCATTCAATAACACCCGGTCCTTCCAATAACAAGGCTGGCACAGCCAGGATCATTGTTGCGAAAGGTGCCATATAATAGACTGTGTTTATGCTGCCATAAGCACAAAAAAATAAGTCAAAATCCTCAATCATTATGGTAAGTAAGAAATCCACGTAGAAACCGTAAAGAAACTATAATGACGTGTTCTGTAGGGAACACCTGGAGAGTACGAAGAAAACAAAGCTAGGTTGAATGAACATCATACCCAACAATCTATAACACGAACTTCATTACCATTTTCTCGAATCAACAGTTTAGGCATTACTTAATTTCCATAAGAAACAAAAAATTAAGATCTCCTGAAAGTTAGAGTAGAAGTAACGGGATTAATCGACATTGATTCGACTTCAACAAACGGACTGAAACTTGGAGAACATTAGTCCAAATTAAAATGATAAATTGTGCTAAGAGTTCTGATGTGTTCTTTTGATACGAAGATTTAATTTCACAAAGAAGATATCAATATTCTATTCTACATTCCATTAAAAAAATAAAGTTCCCAAGTTGCTTCTGTGGTAAAGGAATGAGATTGCACGCCTCTAAAATTTATAAGAACTAGATAAAAAGAAATAAAAATTGCATTCAAATGGTTGGGGATGAAGAGAAGAATGAACACAAAATTGTCAATCTATGAGTAACTTGACAGGTTTAATCGATCCCATTTGTTCATCCTCTTTGTTCGGCAGAAATTGTGGTGGGGGCAGGTTGGAGGAGAAAGTGATTATAATACCTGTCAAATTTGTATCCGTGTAATAGAGACTCAGCAAGAATTGTCTTCGTAGACGTAGCAAGGCAACCAAATAAAGCAGCACAAAAGCCAAACATATTAAAACTGAGCTCAGTGATTGAAGTTAACAAAATCCCTCCAACAATGGGAATTAAAGAAGCCCAAATTCGGGAATCAAAGTGCTTTCTCCAGACTATCCACTGTAAGAAAACTGTTTCAAAAGCATGAGAATCAGGTGCATCATCTATTTCAAGATGCAATATTCCCAAAAAAATCATTATTTGTGTTTAAATCTTGTTGATTCTTTGATTTCTATCTTGTAATCACAAAAGATTCTAACACTAGGCACATAATTTTACTCAAAACACACCTGTTGTTGCTGGTGTGAATGACTTTATCGTTTGCATAAATGAAACAGGAATGTAACGCAGGCTCACGTTCCCTAAGACTATGTTGATACAAAATACAACTGACATGGGAAAGATCCTCCTCCAGCGATCTTCAGGGTCGACATGAATAAGTGGCTTAAGTTTTAGCACTTTAATTACCAGGTATGCGCCGACTGCTGAGCATATGAAGTGTATACACGACACAGATAAAGGAAACTTGAAATCCAGTTTCTGTTAAGAGGAAAAAGAAGCCATAATGATTATCACGGACATGATCATCAATACGTATGAATATCGAGAATTAAAGTTTCGGATATTTTAGAAAAGAATATAGCTTAATTGTAAGAGAAATTAAGAAAGCTTATAAAATCAATATATAAGCATGCATTACATCCCATCAGATCCTTGATCATTCAGGATTTTCATTGTTAACTCCACATGGTAAACTAAAGAAGACCTATAGATACAAGAAATGCCTATTATCACAATGCAATTAGAATGGATTATAGCGGTTTAAAGAAAATGCTGAATGTGTTAAATAAAGAAAATTCTCCCCTCTCTATCAGCCCATTCCGCATGAAAACAAATCTTTCTTGGTTTTAAACCTGAGGCATAGAAGGAAGAGGAAAAGATCCTGTAGAAATTTTTTTAATTCAAAATGGATCAGTCAACCCGGTCTATGAATCTATTCGAACTCTCAACGATTTCTAGAATTTTAGGTGGGATGGGGATTGTAATTCTTTCTACTTCTCGATGTGTAATGATAGACCGAGAGGCTCGACTCGATGTGTACGAGAAAAACTTATTCTCAAAAGAAGCTCTTCAGATTTCCATCAAGTTGACCACTTTTCAATTGCAATAATGAGTCCTTGCCTCATGAGTGTCGTAAGAAACATTAAAGTATCAATAGATTAAATTCCAAGCACCAAACAAAGAGAATGAAAACTATTAGCTAACTATAATCAATATCACTAGCTTTTGTAAGCTTCAATTTTGGAAATTTACAGGCTTCTACCCTCTTCTGAAATTGAGAAAATACGCTTGCAGCAAATGCCAGTTCATTAACTTTCTACAAGAGAAAGAACTTTCAAAAGTCTCTTCTAACTAGAAAAGGAACTTTCCAAACACGTTCAAAAATAGTTTGTTAGTTTCAGAAAAGTCTTTGGCATTTCAAGGGGCTGTAAAGTAACCTATATTCATTGCCGGTAGGCGGCAGCAGTCCAATAAATGAGACGGTAAATTGAAATCAAACGTTGGTGGTTTAACATCAACGATTCAAATTCTTGGAATTTCCGAAACGGTAATAACAAGTTAAGAACCTTAATTCAAGCTGAAGACCAATAAAATATAAAATTTCTTTTCCAAAAATAACGATGAAGATCAAATAGAAAAATTATTCACAGGAAATTCGAACAACACAAGAGACAAAAACAAATGAACACGTACAAATACTTAAAACACAAATAATTAAACAGGAACAGCAGTTTTTTCTTGATGCCTGTGGATACATACAAACCTGGAAAATCCATTTGTTCATGATAATAACAGTAACGTTGAAACCCCACCATTGAACGATGGCTAATATAGATCGAATTACACTCCACTGATAAAACCGACTCTCCTCCATGATTCTTTCACCACCCCAGATCAAAATTTACAACAATCCGCCAATTTCTTTTTGTTTATCAAAAAGAAAGACTTAACAAGAAAACTGAAAAACCCAAAAAAAATTTCGCCCAACTAAATCATTAGAGAAGCAAGAATTTGAGTAGGGCGGTGTAACGTTGGAGAGGGCGCCATAAGTTTCGTTCTTCTTGGGGTGTTTATATTGAGAAATTTTGTATGTTTTGTTAATTTTTTTGCTATTAATAATTGATTTTTAGGACTGACTTCTCAACGTGTGGGGGGTTTCTCACTACCTTCAATTCACACCTTCGACCCCCCTTTATTGGTTAAATCCCCACTAACACAACTTGGTCCCCATTGACTCCCATTAATTTCTTGTAATGTATTATGAAATAGTAAGTTAATGAAAAATATATGATTAAAAATAATTTATTTATATGTAATATTATTTTAATGAAAAATATTTGGTTAAAGATAAATACTGTAGAAAAAATAATAATGAAAAAAAATGGAACTCAAACAAGGGTAAAAATACTTGTTTCGTATGGTTCTAATTTTCCAAAAAATAATTATGAGCATGATATATAGCCGAGTTGCCATCGTAGAGGCTCAATATGATAAGTACTTTTTGATGTGTATGTGTTAAATCGATCTGTAGGGGAAAATGTGAGGTCAGCCACAAATGCTGATATAACCATATCATGATCAAACTAGACTACGATGGATCAAAATGTCTTTGTAGATGTTCAATAAAATGTATATTTATAATGTGTTGTATTAAGCTAATCAAAATACGAGACTCGACTAATTGTACTGTTCTCTTTTTCTTCTCCCCGCCCCTCAAGGAAAGTATGAAAATGAAAAACGTTGTGAAGAGCTTATTCAAAAAATATATCTAACAATTTAAAATAATATTGTGTTGTTATTTATTTATAGTAATACAAAGCGGTTTTTTTTTTTTTTTAATTTAGTCTATTTAAATTTATCTTGAACATATACTAATAGAATTAAATTCTATACATTTTTTTATTTTTATTTTTTTGGAAATCAATACTTGATAGTGTTGTGAGAAGAATTAATTGTGCATATGTGAATTCTCAAGTTGATTTGGAAATTTTTTCAAGTTACATGGTTTGACTCGTTCAATTGTTGAATTAACTTGCACATTTTCATTCATTGCACTTGGCTTTAATATTAACTCACGCGTTTGTTTATCCTTTTTGACGTATATTTTACGTTGATTATAATTTCAATATTGAAATTATATGGATATGGGTCAATCTGTTAGGATTTTCGAAAAGTTAAAAATTGAAATCAAAAGCTAAAAAGTTACTTTTTTTTAAAAAAAATTTGAATAATTTTTTGAAAGTGCTTTGTTTGACTAGAAAAGTTTTTAGATTGCGTTTCATTGTGAGTATGAATTTTGCATAAATTTAGGCAATTTAATTGGCTAGAAATTATTTATATGAAAATTATTAGTTAAATGTATCTGATTAATTTAGTTTTGAATCTAAAAAAATATTATATTTGTCAATTTTTTATCAATGAATAGATAAGAGACATGGGATGACCTGTAGTCTATCATCGCGCTCAGCCACCACGTCTGGTTCTATATGTATTATTTGGTTCGATTATCAAAAAATCATTGATTCATGGTTCAATTTATTCTGTTGGAACCATGTCCATCCCTAATTTTAGCTATTGAAAAAAAATGATAATGTTGTAAAATGGGATATTACGATTAATGACTATTTAACTTAATTAGATATTTATGTCTTTCTTGCTTTAGAGAATTGATAGTGTTGTAAAATGAGAATTATGAATAACTATTTATTTTTTGAAAGATTGTGTGGTTGAGAACAGGAAAGAGAAAAATAGAATGTAATTTATTGGAGAGGCAAACGGGGGAGCTTACCTAATTAATTTTCTATGAGAAGAAAACCACTAATAAAACTAATATGACAAAGTAGATTTCAAATAATAAAAGATTCATTTCAAATAATTTTTTTTCATGAGATTAAGGTAGTTTTTTCCCGAAAATGTTTGGCAACTATAGTTTTAGCTACAAGGATCCAAATATTATCCTATATTAAATTTGTGTTGTATAAACTTAGATATAATTCTAATTTTTAATTTTTAATACGTTTATTCCAAAAAATTATTGAGACAAAGTAACACTAATTATAAATTCACACGTTAAAGAAGTAGAATGGAGAGGTAATAACAAAAATCCTTGAGTCGAGATAAATTTTTAAAGTAATTACAGAGTCTTTTCTTTCGTATTTCTAGTTTTTAAACGAGTTTATTAATGTATATCCAATATATGAAAGGTGAATCGATTGTGGCATGAGAAAATAATAACACGAATTATATAATTCCATATAACAATGTGGAATAGAGAAGTAGAAATGAAATAAAAATAAAATAATATTCTTGAAAGATCCATTATTGAGAGGGTAATTCCAACTTCATACCTTCGGACATGCACAATTAGACGAAAGTAAAGGCCAATTTGTTGCCACTAGCAGCAAAGGGTTTTGTCATATAATAATACTATACAATACTTAATTGCAATAAAATAATATTCTTTTTAAATTAAATTATTCTTTTTGTGAATATACCAACAAAATCCTTATACCTTACAAGAAAGATCTCACACATTAAAATCCAAATTAACACAAATGCTTGTGTATGAGACAATTAAAGTGTCAAACTGGTTAGGCCGGGACACAAACACCGGTAGGTGGCTCTCAAGACAAAGAAAAACTTCGATAAGACGATCTTATATGCATATGTAGCATAACCGTCCACTTAAATTAGACTTGAAACCATTCAAATTTTGACACCAAGATGAAAAGAAAGAGAAACAAAGTGGGAATGTGACATCTTTGAGTGGCTACCATCCTACCGAAACTTATCTCCTCTAGACGAGTTAAGCTATTCGATCCATTTTTGACACCTCTAATATGGCCAAAAATTGAAGAAATGAGGGTTTTCTCCTCAATTTAAAACTATAACAGTGTGCGCACTCACGTGCATAGCCCGCGCATAATAGTCTCTATTTGAGCACCATTCTCTATAAACACTACTTTAAAAATAAATAATAGATCTCATTTTCAATCACATTCTTCCAAAATATTAATTTTGCTCATCAACCCAAAACCTTTCCCAATATTACACAAACACTTTAACCATGGTGGCATGTCCTAGTCGGACGTGTTACATACCAACACTGTACAATGGTCATTTTTCTTTCCTTCAAAAAATATTATATTTTTTTAACTCAATGTTATTATTAAATAACAAATACATACTCATATTTAAAAATTTTCAATAAAAAAATTAATAACAAATATAAAATAAAATTTATACTATATAGATGAAAGATTTTATAGAATTAATCAACATGTCAACGAAATGTTGAGTCAATATTTTTATAAAAAATTACACATTAGAGTTTCTAATACGGGTATCGATATCGATGCATTATAGACTTTTCCTTACTTTTTAATCACGTATTCTCCAAAAAAAAATAAAATCAGTATTTCAAAAATATTTTCACAGAAAATGGCTCAAAAAGGGTTCTAAATTCAACGAGCAGGTTAATACGGGGTAAGAAAAGTGAACATTTATCAAATATCATATTCAAATTCCCATAATGACGGTTGATTTTAAGGAGGAAAAAACTGGTTCGCCGGGGAGCAATTTACCAGACTTTATACAGGATACTGGACCCCACGTGGGACCCTCTAAGCTAAATGATCTCGTCTAGAGAATAGAGGGTTACCCATGGAAGCCATAGAAGCAGCATTTCAGTCGACTTTCCACTAATTCAAGAAATGCCTAAAGTAATTTGGCAGGAAAATTCAAAAAGCAAAAGGCCAAAAGGACGGTGATAATTTATTTAATTCTTCACAGAGACAGGCCAAAATCTGGTTACTGACTTACTGTAAACTGATCTTCACAAAAATGGCACCATTTCACAGGTTCTCAAATCCCAATTTTTTCTAGTTTGATGCCTACTAAGCAAACTTTTCACTTCGAAGCCAATGTCATTTTTTTGGTTTTTTCGGTTTCTTCCTAACCGTAAATTCTGTTTCTGGATCATTACAAAGAATACAACACAGCTTTCAGATCATAATCTTTGATGCAGTTGACTTCGCATCTCCCTTATCAGCTCCACCTGCATGCAAGAATCAAGGTCTGGGAAATTCGTGCACAAATTGGTAGAGAGGGTAACATGAACCCGAAAATTCAGAAGCGATCAACTGTCGACAAATCATAGCTCGTAGGGAAAGGAAGACACTTCATTTAAAAATGTTTATGGGAAAACGAAAACATATAAAAGTATCTGTTCGATAAGTTCTTAGAAGGAACAGCAAAATCTGAGAGACTTTGCATAGGATATAATGCATTTGAGGAAAATTGAACCTCAACAACCTAACTGGCCACTGTTAGTTACAGACTTTCACAATAAAGAAGGAGCAATCTAGTCCCAATATTTAGAGTGAGATCTAAGGCTAAATTCTTGCTAGTCTTCACCTTGTGATTTCCCAAAAGAATTTAAAAGAAGAGCACATTTGAAAAATAAATTCCTCTGATTGATTTATTGTAACCCCTTTCATTACATATAAATAATTGAAGTTCCTGAGATTTTAGGATATCCTGCTGCTATATCAGTTTGAGCATAAAATTAAAAATAGTAAATGATTTTTCCAGCCAAAAATAAAACATATAGGAAACAGAAGTTTTTACGGAATGGAGAAAGGTGGGAACTGAAATGGTTGGTTTATGTATTATTCACCCCACCAGCTAAACACGATATATGCACTGATGATTATATGATAAAATAGTATCGCTGAAATAGTATCGCTGGCTCCAAACTGTAACTCTACAGTTATGTGGTTTTTAGATTTCCTTCACCACTTTTTTAATAGGTTTTTCAGGTAGGCTTTTCTCGAAGAGTTAAAAGTGTAAACTGAATAAAAGGATTCAAACAGTATATAATGCATGCAAGGAATCAAAACCTATCTTCACCGTTCACAAATCAATCCATGATTTTATACGACGAGGAATGAATTTACCAGGCCAAAACAACAAATAAAATGAAAGGGCCTCCTTTCATTTTGGGGCTGCCATACCAACTCATTGGTCCTATCCATTATAGTCTTATTATGGTACCGATATTTTGAACCCCTACTTTTTTCATGCCATACTAAGCTTTCTCTTGATTAAAAGTGCAACTGGCAGAAAAACCAGAAAACACTACAAAATCATCATTATTTTTATCGGACGTGGAACAAAATAAATAAGAGGAATCTTGAATGCTTTTGTGTGCTAAAAGTCCTGGTTTGAATGATAAAGAGGCGCACACAAACTGCCAAGTACATTTTTAGCACATAAATAAAAAACATTTCGAACTCTCAAAGATTTTGAGCCAAATTTAGAATTTTCAGAGTCAATTTTGCGGCTCTACCACATATCCAAAGGTGCAACACGTAAAATAGAAATACATCAGCCTTAAAAGTTCTTGACATTCTCATGCATAACCAGGTACAGAGAGGATTCTTGCATATGCAAGTGTATGCAGAAAATTTATTTAATTAGTTGTAAGAAATTGATTTAATGAAAAGCAATATATTATTAAGAAAATTATGTGGGTTCAGATAGCTACCAAGTAAGTATGATGGTGAATGTTTCAAATGTAAATTTCTCAAGTTGAACAAAAGAGCCTACTTCCTTCTTCCTAGCACCTTAATGCCAAGTGTGCAATCATCAAAGCCAAAAGTACAATCCTTAATGCTAACTCTCTAATGCAATCCTTCCTTTACCATTGACCATTAGGATGCTAAAAATGAAATTACCATGATACAGAAAACTCATGCAGCAGTCCAATCACCATTTCGGTTTCACATACACCAAAAACACACACACACAAAAAAGTGTCAAAAATGAAATTACCGGCGATGACAGAGGCGGCGGGAGTGGCTTCGCCATAGATGACCTTGAGGGTGGAAAGAGGAACGAAAGCGTTTTGTGGATTCGCCTCCGCCTCAGAAAACAGCTGCTGCTTCCAATCCCAAATTGTTTTCTTCAAACCCTTGTTGGCTTTGACGAGCGAGTCCTTCTCCGCCTCCAATGCCTCGATTTGACGCTGCTGCTCCACCGATCGTAAACTCAACACAGCGAAGACGCTGGCAAGAAGAGTGTTTATAACGGCGTTGCTGTTCGCCGCCCTCTGCAACAAGTTTGCCACCTGCTCCATTTTCCTTTTATTAACGCGCAGCCTTTGCTTGGCTTGGCTTGGCTTGGCTTCAGGCCTTCTTACTTGTCCTCTGCCAAGAGTCGTGTTTATAAACATACGCTTTTCCGTTCAAGATCGGGACCAACTACCCGACTTCAATTGTTTGATCGGGGTCTAGGGTCGGACAAGTAGGTCCACTTTACGATTCATTGACCATGAATTGTTGCATGGAGCGTCAATTAGTGTAGAACAATATTTAGAGAGTAAAAAATTATTTATGTGCATAAGATGAGTTATCGAGGATGTTGATAGGCTTGGGCATCGGGTGGGTCGGTCTGGGTATTTCAATATCCAGAACCACCCATTATGATTCGAATATTTTGCAAATAAAATCATTCGGATTTTTGTAAATATTAGAACCAAATTCAAACTCGAATCGTCAGTTCCGATTTGATTTTGAATCTATCCATAACATTTTATATACATGTATTTAATAAATATTTTACATAGACTTTTTTGGCACATATACCTAATACGCTGCTATTCGAAAATATTTGTACGATGAAAAAAAATTTCAAGGAACAAAATATTGGATACTAAAAGCCATGAAAAATATGAGAAAATAAAATAAAGATAAAAAATGAAATTATAACTTGAAAAAAAAAATATTTTTCTTAATAAATCTTATTCGATCTATAAGAGAAGCATATTAGACATATAATTTAATTATGAACAACACTTAAATTCTTTTACTTTTAAAACGAACAGATATAAAAATATTAATTAAATACGTAACTAATATAGTATCACAAAAATTACGATCATATATATATAAAGAGAATCACAAATTCAAGATAACAAAAATGTACAACACAACGCAAGCAATGAATATATAAAATTCAATTGCCACACATTATGAAAAAAATAAAATAAAATCACTTAAGTTTATTAACAATACAAGAAAATAAAAAACTTGAATTGCAACGAATAAATGTTTTGATTTATCAACTTATACCACAACCTGTTTGAAATTTTTGATTTGTAAAAAGCTTTAATTATAAACATTAACACATAATAACCTCTGAAACACAACAATTTGATGTAAGGTGAGATATAAAAAAAATAGAAGCCAATCTTATTTCTAGAGTTAGAATTAAAAGTTTTAGACTAATTACTATCAAAATTAGGATTTTTAGGTTTTAAATATTTTTTCAGCCTATAAATTGTAAATAATTTTTTTTTTTATAAAAATTGGTTCCACTCGAGTACCCACGGTTCTGGTTCAAGAACAAAGAATCGAATCGAACCTAGTCAGTTATCGGTTCTCAGTTCCGACTCCTAATTTATTTTTCGAGAAACCGGACCGAAACCTTCGATTCTGGTTCGATTTCGGTTCGGGAGATTCAGTTACAATTAAAATGTCCAGGCCTAAATGTTGAGATGTAAGAAATGTAGTCAGTCGAATTTGATATAAATTATACGTGGACAATAATTGAAGTTGATGACTCTCTTTGAAATCCCTCGTCAAGTTAGCCTTTAGAACAGTTTAATGCATTATCTTCCATTTACCTAAAGTAATGTTGTGTAGTCTCATTGGGCCCATTTTATATAACACTAGATGATTAATTAAATGAAATGTGAAATTTAATAAGTTATTTGATTCTACCTATCAATTAATGTCACGTCAGCACCATTTAGACTGTGATTGCAATCCCATTAATGCTAACTGTTGACACACTAAAAGTGCAATCCAAATCGAATAGCCCAAGGAATGAAGCTCAATTGGGGAATTCCCAAATCAAATAGCCCAAAAAATGAAGCCCAACTGGGCAATTCAGGATAAAGTCCCAGATAGGGTTATTAATGAATGTAGTGGAAGCCCACGAATACGGTAACGTCATCGTCCAAGCTTGCAAGACGCCCAAGATCTGAGCGAATGAAGTGTCTTACAGTCGCCCAGAGCTATGACCATGTTTTCGTCCAAACCTTCGAATCGCCCAGGATCTTAGCAAATATAAGATGTTATAGTTATCCAGAAGTGCAGTTATTGAGTAACCTTATCACGTTCCACGATTCAAGGAGTTCAGTTGAAGATGGTTAAACGACAAAGAGTAGTGACAGCAATTAGAGACGGCAGTTCCACGATAAGTTAGCCACCATAAAGAAAGTGGGTAGTTATAAAGCAATCAAGCAGTTTCTAAGCGGTTGATCACGAAGAAATCATCAAGGGAATATAAAAGGAAGAGAAGACATAGAGCAAAAGACCCCGAATCAAACACTTTCAAATAGAGAATATGTAATTTCAATTTCTTAGTTTAGACTTAAACATTTCTTTTCAGTACTCGTGTGCTTGCGCCCCTTAGAGGCATTCTGTTTAGTTACAATTGTAAAGTCATCACCAATAAAACACCCCTTTTTGGGACTTTGTCTCAAGAGGTTTGTTCCTTATACAATCATCTGATTCCTTTTTAATTGTTAGCGACTACCCGCGCGAAACAATTTGGCACACCCAGTGGGACGTTGGTATTTGGTGTTGAAGATACAAAAGGTAAAACAATATGCCTCAGAAATCTGATAAGGAAGCAAGTCAGGGAGGAGTCCAGTCTGTGATCGACCGATATGAGGAGTAGCATAGCTCTCTACGAACAGATGGACAGAATCAGAGCAGTCACAATCGTTACGAACCAATGACAGAGTTGAGTTCTCGAACCATGCGTGCATTACTTGGAGAACTCACACAGGATGTCGTTGAACGGGTAAATCTACGAAATATTCATAATATGGAAAGATTTATCCAAAATGAAAATGCACATTATGACAACATGGCCAAACAACTGAATACTTTGAACGAAATAATGAATAAGTTGGTAGGCCAAATTTGTCAACCAGTTGTGCCTCTTGCAAATCATTTTCAAACTAGGACAATCGTGGATCCCCCAATCCTAAGTCCAAATCAAGAGGCAGAACCACCTTTTGGTCCCTCTACTTCAAACCAAGGAATGGTGTAATGCCAAATCAGAATAGTGGCAATGGTACATCTAACTTGGGGGTAACCTAAACGTAAGAGACAATGTCCTAAATAATAGACAGAATGCCCCACGTGTTAATGATGGAATAAATATTCAGGCTAATGGTAACAATGGCCCAAATTATGGCAAATTTTGGCCAACCAAGGACCAAATATCAGGCCTCAAGCAAATCGGTCAACCAACCTGTAGGAATTCCATATGACTCCAATGTCATGTTGAGGAATCGGATTATGAAAATAGTATAGGACCATATGGCTTTTGGGGTATGTCCTGTCATTAGGCCGACTTACACGAAGCCATATCCTGATTGGGTAGACCAAGCATATCCATGGCCTAGAGGGTGTAAAGTGCCAGAATTCTCACTATTTACCGGTTTAGGAGAGGTGTCTACTCTAAAACACATAGGGTGATTCACACTGCAAAGTGATGACGTAACTGATTACCATAAAATAAGGTTGTTCCCTAGTTCATTAATAGGAGTAGCTTTCTCCTGATTCATCAATTTGCCAGCGAACTCTGTTCAAATATGACAACAATTGGAGCAATTGTTCCACGCTCAGTTTTATAAGACTGAGTCCGAAGTTACTTTGACCGATTTGACGAATCGACGTCAAATGCCAAACGAATAGGCAGAAGGTTTCCTTCAAAGGTTCAAGACAGCAAGAAGTAAATATTTTGTACCTTTGCCCGAAAAGGAGTTTGTCAAAATCGCTCAAGGTTGTCTAAGCTTTGATTTGAAAAAGAAGTTCCAAGACAAGAAATTTCCTGATCTTTTCCAATTGAGCGCGAACGTGATTAGGTATGAACGATTAATAAGAGAAGAAGAGCAAATGAAAAATTCTAGCAAGGGGACTTACTATAGAGACCCAAATTTTGATGTTCATACCATTAATGACGAGTATTACGATCAAACTGAAATGTGTTTGGCCGAATTAATCAAAGGAGACGCGTATACTTGTCCTATAATGGCTAAGCCTAGATCGTTGGGCAAGGATGAGCTTATAAAAGATGAAAACAAAAAGGCTAGAACGTTCTCATTCAATGTAACCAAAGCTGACCTTATATTTGATAAACTATATAAGGATAAGCAGATAAAGTTGAGCGATAAACATAAATTGCCAAGCCCCGAACAAGTTAAGGGTAAAAAATATTGTAAGTGGCATAATGCATGGTCACATTTGACTAATAACTGTTTGATTTTTCGCCATGTGTTACAGGATGCTATTGAATCAGGTGGAATTACGTTCGAGGATAAGAGGAAGATGGCAGTGGATGAAAACCCTTTTCCACAGCCACTTGGGGGTGAACATGGTGACGACTGGTTTCAAATATAAGTTGCCAAAATTCAAGTTAGTTATAGATGACGGGGAAGGGGACCCTGGACCATATCCTAGTGTCTTTGAACGTATCAAAGGGAAAGAGCCTGAAAAGGATAAAGACGTCCGATGTGCAAGATGTAAAAGAGAAGTGAGTGGGAACATAGAGAAACCAGGGATATGGCAGCATCACCATCGCCCTAGTTTTTTTCCAAACGCTCAGTCTGGTAAAGGGCGAGGTATATCATTCTATAAGGGATCGCCTTTTGAGAGGCAGTTCAGGCCAGTAAATAATGGGAGAACATTTAGGCCGCAGCCTCGCCAACCATATGTATGGCATTCGTTCCAATATAATGCAGGAAGGGCGAAACCCTTCAACAAGATGACTAGAACCCAACAAAAGCATTTTCAACGAAACTATGGACGGATGATGAGGCAACAACAGGGAATGCCACGTCCTAAAGCGCCTAAGCTACTCGAGGTGGCCAAGCAAAATATTCTCGAAGACAGTGAGGAGACTGGTACAGGTGAATCGATGAAAGAATTGCCAAAAAGTTTTTCTGGGAGGTCGAAGTTTGAGCGAGACAGAAGAGATGGAAAATATCCAGATCAGTCCCTTACTATTCAGTTCGGTACGTTACCTCCTGTCATGGCTAATAACTATTTGCTAGCCAAGGAGTTTAAAAATAAAGAGAAAGAAGAAGAAGAGAGGAAGGATAACGAAGAAGAAGCATGCGTGCTGAAATATGAAGAAGGCCAAACTTCTAGAGGGCCCTTAGATGATGAA